AACACTAAGTAAATTTCTCTATAACGAATTTCCCTTTTGTCGCCCGTCTCCAATTCAATTTTTTATAATTAATTTCTTCCTATAATGAACAAAAGCAGAAAAATGCATATAATGGACAGAGGGTTCGGTATAGAGAGGGAGGGCTTTGTATTATTCAAAAAATTTTGCCCGATCATCACCAATTTTGCCGCTTGTCATAATAATAATAATAATAATAACGGATTTTTTTGTCTGGAACCATGAATCCGCTGTGGCGAGATTTGACTGTAATCATTTAGCATCTATAAAGTGTATAATAATAAAATTCAACAGGCGCGTGATTATTTTGTAAGTAATGAACGATCGAATTTACCAGTTAAACAATTCCACGTGACTAAATTAACCGGTTAACTGGTTAACTCTCAATTTTAACGGTTAATTAACCGGTTAAAGAATTTTTGCGCAGTGCCAACCTCTATCATCGACAACTCGCGGCGTGATATTTTAGCATTTTATTAGTTGTGTGTGGAGGTTAAAAGTAACACCGTATGTTGTCTGTAAAGTGGGTTACCCAGACCCTATTTATTCATAAGAAATATTAATTGTAGAATAAACTCAGGTTATACATCTTCATAGAATTCTTGATTATTACTACTATCTTCTAAATTAATAGATTCATCAATCACCATAATTATCACTATCATAATCATAGCCATTATTATAATTGAAATCCAAGTCATTGTCAATTTCTTCATCTTCATCTCCATCTTCATTTTCATTTTCATTTTCATTTTCATTTTCACTCTCATTGTTGATCACTGCTTGATATTCAGAATCATTTTCCAATAATCCCAAGTTGGAATATATTGAAACAAGTTTAAATACATTTTCGTTAGTGAATCAATATTATCAGTATAACCAAAATCACACCAATCATATATTTTGTTGAAAAATTTTTTTGTACGATCATGGTATACAAGTGTCATAAAAGCAGTAATATATAACAGGTATATAACAGGGTATAAACTACGTAGTTATAAACACACCCATCACTAAAGTGAATATTCGGTGAATAACTGATAATCAATATCTCATCTCATGTATATAACTGAATTGAAATGAATTTTCTAATGTCCAATAAATCCTCATTTATAATTAATTAAATTAATTATTTCATTTGAAATGGAAGAAGAGTATTCAGTCACTATAATAGGAATGAGTAATAATACAGTAATGAGAATTCTGCAACTCATATTTTGAAGAAAAAGGTGGTTCTAAGAAGTCAAGTTGGATATTGAAAGATGATCCATTATACATAATAAAATAGATCTCCCAGTCTTGTCTAAACACTTGTGTGTGCCCATTCCAAGTGAGAAAATTAGTTAAGCTGGAAATTCAAAAAGGACAAACTTAATCTACTATGTTTTTTTGATTGATAACTTTGATAGAATGTAAAATTAACAATGACAATTTAATGATCAAATGAATATCTGAATATTTTAATTATTCACCAAACGATTGATTAAATTTAATTGATTGAATGAATAGATATAAAAATGAATGGATATTCGACCTTCGGTGTGCGGATCGTTTATACTCGGGTTAAAAAATTTGAAATATTATGTGATTCACATGTTGGATTTTAAAACAACATTCATTCAAATATTTTCTTTCCATATGCTAGTTGATATTTCATCTTGTTATTTATCATCATCATTTGTTCTTCTGATTCTAGTTAGAATAAAATAAACATAAAATTATAAAACAATATATACCTTTGTTGTTAGTACATTGTAAAATTTTAATAAATGATTTAATGACACATTTGGTAACCCATTCGGATATTCTAGAGAAACAGGTGCCTTCCATGTTTTTTCAAGTTTTTTTATTTTGTGGTTTATCATTAGTAAATGAACAATTAGGATTTGTTATATTAATTAAAAATAATGTGACATTTGAGGAAGTTTATAAAGTATTACAAATATAACAGCAGCACTCAAAAGTATTACAAATATTACGAATATTCAAAATGTATTACGAATATTCAAAAGTATTGTTATTATTCGAATGTATAGGAAAATTAGTAGCGACGACAACTCTGACCATCCACAATAGTGTGTTCCTAACTGAAAATCAAATTTTTTACGAATATTCGAAAAACAATTTATTCAAGGATATTTGAATATACATAATTTATTTCGTAATTATTTTGGATACTTGTATTATTTTGAATATAATCATTTCAAACATTTGTTATGGTTGATAACAAATAGCACTAACTTATCTGTAATTTATCCTACTATAACAAACATTTTTCAAAGATAATATATTTTTACAACAATTAAAAAATATTTGTCCAGAAAACATTTTCATTTAAAAAGTAATTATTTCAAAGACAAGAAAAAATCAATAATAGTTTGTTAGAATTTATACAAATATCTGAAATAATGAGCATCCAAAAATAATTACGAGTATCCAAAATAATATTCGAAATTCGTAGTTTTGGATTTACGAATATGGAGTTAGAATTACGGTTAGGAACCCTACCACAATATTAGTTTTAATTAAACGTTTGGAATTCTGCTTATGAAGCTGGACAGTGTTAAAAAATGTTGTTTCTTCGATCCCAACCACAAACTTCTTGGAGAATCAAACAATGTCATTATTAATAAAGTAACTATGTTAATATTTCAAAAAATGCCAAACTCAAGGAACTTGGATGTCGTGACTCATTAAAAACCTTTCTATCGACAAATCTCGAGTTGTCAAGTGTCGGACGGCGATAGCTTTCATAAAATCGATTGGCCTCGGAAAGTATTAGTTCTGACAATAGCAGTTGTTGGAGATAGTTATTTTAAAGGCATGCAAAAAAAGTACTCGTCAATGTGAAGCACATTGCCTGATTTAAAAATGGAAATAACATAGTAGAGAGATATATAAGAAAAAACCCCTATTACTATGAAAACTTTAATTTCTCGAATGGTCACACATCATTAATATATTAAGCTTGGCAATAATTTATTGTACAGAAAAATTCGTGCAACAAATAATATTTTTAATTTATAATAATAATTCCACTTTTGTTAAGATGTCTGTGGGGGAATACTTTACAATTTTTTATTAACAATTCATTAATGTTTTTGGTTATTAATTCATTCTATTTTTTTTTTTTTTGAATACAAAAAATAAACAAATGATTTATTATCGATTTTTTTAACAATAAATCATTTATTTTCCAGACATTCAAGATTTGATTTTGAAATAGCATGCAAATAAGAAAGAAAGAAACGCTCGTTTTATAATTTAATAAAAGTATTTTTTTTAGTATATAATAATAATCACAAAATGCGCGCAATCACGAATCCGCCAAAATTTCAAATATATTAAAACAAAAATTATTATTTTATGTGGTGTTATTTCATCATGACTCATTTTCAAGTCAAAGCAGTAAGTCCCTTCGATATGTGAAATTCACAGAATACATTTATGACATGGTGCATGCTAAAAGAGCAGTTTTATTTAGAAAAAACTAATAACAACATAGAAAATCTAGATAATTTTATATATAAAATATTAATTAAATTTCTTTTGGTTAGTAAGTGTGCCCGAAATTTTATATTGAAATTTGTGATGTAGTCTCCATTTGAAAAAAAAAAATTTCCCATCTTAGCCTTGCCGATCTTATATGTATATATAAAAAATAATTTAATTAAAAATATGCTCGGCGCATGATTAAATTAGGTTTTGTTTTCCTTCTTCAGCACGGTTACTCAATAATAAACAATTCAATCAAGATTTTTGCTCGCGCATATATATATAATAATAATATTTTTAAATTGAATTATTTATTATTTTTTAAATAAATTTTTTAAATATTTATATAAATTTCTGAATTCCCATCATCATCTATATAAACTGTACATATGAAATTTTCTAAATCGTTCTTTATTATATAATAAAAAATGGTTTCATCAAAATTATTTTTAATGTTCGCTTTCACCTTTATGATTGGTAGTTAATTATCTATTACTGATTAAATTTCAACCTTTTATATAAATTATAATCTAACGTATACTTTTCTTTCTAAATAACAGCCTTAGCAAAATCCGTTCCGGTTAAAGATAGTCCATCATTCATACCGCCATCAGTTGATTCCAAAGAAATAATTTCAACGATATTTAATACAAACAAAAGATTTATAGTTCCTATTAAAATATCATATGATGATGAGGATATAAGTACTTCTGTCGTTGTAGTGAATTTAAAAGTAGAGAATAATAAATTAATAATAAATGATGATGTCTCGTTAAAATTAGGAAAAACTTCTGTTCAGGTAATTTTTGCTTCAATTATTATTCACATAATTACAAAAAATATATTCATTAAGAAATTTTTTTTAATTGCAGGTGATTGAAGCAAAAGTTATTCCGGCTGATATTAGTAAAGATGAAATCGATGATTACTTTGATAATTATGATATTGCTCTCATAACTGCTGAGATAAGTTCTTCAGTGCGTTCAATTCCAAAAAAGATCGACAGTTTGATAATTAACCGTGTAATAATATCTATAACTATTATGGAGATTGATGGTGTAGAAGTTGTGCAAGCAAAAGCAATTGAAAAAATATTGGAAATCAAACAAATCAGGCAATCCATCTCACCTTCATCTGACGAATTTAGCAACTATTATCAAATCGTTAAACATCATCATCATCGTTCACCTTGTAAAAATATTATTGCTCATGTAGACCACTGGTGTTGTTCAAAATTCACAAAAGTTTTATTGACTTCAACCTTGCTCACTTTTATATCCACTATACTCTATATAATCGCTATTCGGTATCGACCTCTTACCAAAATTTACTTTTTCAAAATTAAGAAAAAAGAATTCTCGTAGAAGAATATCAATCACAATAATTGTTAAAAGAAATAATCCTTCTTTACCATTTCCTAGACATTTTCTCCCCGATATATATATAAATACACACACTCACATAAACAATGTATAAAACATTTTTCCTTTTTTTGTATAAAAAAATTTTTAAGAAGAATAACAATAAATCTTTATATATAAGTTTTTTATGAATTATAATTAATCATTATCGTTATGTGTTATATGTAACATAATGCAATCAATTACTGAACATTCGAACATTTTTTTATTAAAACTATCTTTAAATTTAGGTTCAAAATTATACTGAGTTCGTTAGAAATAACATTATTTTCTTTATGAAAATAAAAATATATTAAAAGGTGCCTTCTTAGCAGGGCTGGAAATAGTAATATTAAAATTTTTAACTTCCGGAATGCGAATTTGACCTTAATTCACTGATCGATAACCCTGTAAGTCCGGAGTGAAATTATCTATATTATTTAATTTTATTTATTTTATTTTATTTTATATTTTATCTATATATTATTTATTTATTTTATCTATTATTTATTTTTTTAATTTTATTATATTCTTTAATTAGTTATATGAACTCGTGTTACATTTCGCAGATTTAATTTGTAACACGTTAACGTTAGACCTTTATTTAGTAGAAATTAACAAAGATTGTGCTATATATACCTCAGACTGGGAGAATTATCCCAAGTACAAAGTGGGATAATTATCCTAGACCAGGAGGAATATCCCAACCTGGGCTAAATATCACAAATTGGGATACATATAATCCAACATGTATATAAGGAACAAGAATTCGCTGTAGTCGAAGAATAACTTTGTAACAAATTAACTTAATACAAAATTAAAATCAAATCACTAAAACAAAAATTATCCGCTAATAAATCTAATTCGTTAGTATTAGCCTATTCATTCTGATCCACATAAACTAATAAAAATTTGTTATCATCAATTAAAACACGCTCTCCCAAAATTAATAGCAAAATTATTAATTATATAATTATTTATTATCTTACCATATATTTACCTAACAACATTTTTTTCTATGTAATGCTTGATAAAAAATTTTTTTTCTGATTCATTATCACTATATAGTCAAATAAAGACGGTGGTAATGATGTACTGCTAGTAGTAGTTCTTAATTAAAAGAGAAAACATGTGTCAATTTTTAGTATTTAAAATATAGCTAAAGAATAGAATTTTATTAAAACAAGTTCCCTATGCAAAGTTTTCACACTTAAAACATACTTATTATACCACTAAAACACACTTAATTTGAGTAGAATTTAATTAATGTTTTGAGCATGGAATAAGTATGTTTTAAACATATTTCAAGTGTAATTTAAGCACATTTTGACTATTATTGGGAAACACTTAAAACATTCTCATTTCTTGAAATTTAAGTAGAAAATAAGCATATTTTCCATTTATTTTCTATTTATCTTATTTATTTCATACTTGAACTGCACTTAAATTATACTTGATTTATTCTTAAAATTAATATGTAGAAAATATATTGTTTATTTAATTAAATAGATATTTTATTTACTTTTTTAAATACAAATAAATTTATAAATAGCAATAATAATGATAAAAATAATAACTAATTTTTTTCTTTAATTGTGTGAAAATAACCCATTGTTTAACTATGAACCCATTTTTGAAGAAAGAAATATTAATACAATGTTATATTGTTACTTACTGCAATTATGCTTTGATGATCATGTGAAACTAATAGTAAATCCCATTGTGAAGAAAAGAAATATTAATACAATGTTATATATTTAATAAGATTATTATTAATATAGTATTACTTACCATGCGTAACAATAACCATAATAGTGAACCTCGTTAATACAATAAGTAATATATTATTACTTACTATTACCTTGATGGTCGCGTGAATAATAATAACAATAAACCATAAACCCGTTAATAGAATGTTATATATGTATATAATAAATTATTAATAATATTATTATTAGTAAGTAATAGTTACTAGGCAAATTCTGAGTTTGAATTATCAAAGTTTGTTCAGTGTTTTGAGTCATGTAAATGACGTCAGTTACTAGGTGCTAAGTGACTAGTTGCTTATTTATCACGCGTTTCCTATGTAA